TTGGCCCACGGGATGGATTGCCATGGTGCCGCTTCTTCGCTTGTGCCGGGTCTCGTTGGCGCTGCAGGGTCGTCGTGCGTACCGGGGGGTGGTGGGGGGGAAGGGGGGGGGGGAGAAGGGGGGGGTGGGGTCGTGTCGCATGTCCCGTGGAGTGTTCCCCACAGGATTGTGACAAGGAGTCGGGTGCTGGGCATTGCCGACCTGTGGTGTTTTGCTTCCGCTGTGTGCTGTATGCTGGAAGGCTTCGGCCGAGGGTGATCTGTAGGTATTCATATAAGTGTGTAGTCATGCAGCGCAGTGTATGGGTATGTGATGCGCATGCGAGTGGAGCCGATGTAGACGGAGTGGATAGTCTGAGCTCAAGTCAGCAAGGTGTTCCCCCTTCCCGCTCTCTCCGCTGTAGACAGGTCACTCGCGAGTTAGGGGTCTTTCGAGCTTCGGACTTGGTGGGAGTAGCGGTATGCTTGCACAAGTGAGAAACCGGTTTTGTGTCCCGTAGTTTTGCGTTGTTTGGTGTTTGTCTTTGCTGGCTGTGGCTTGCTGTTGCGCTTGTGTGCTTTCGGAGTGTCTTCAAGTACAGTCTGTAGAAATTCTTGGTCTCTCTGTTGTGAAGGGTTGGGGGCAAGATTCTGAAGACTGGGTTGCTTGCCACTGCTCCAGGGGACGTCATAGCGGTCGATGAAAGTCGCTTCGAGGCTGCTCCACGTCTCTCGGTTGAGGGCTTTCATCCCCCAGTCTCTGCCTGCGGTGTCACTGAGTTGGCGGTCGATGTCCATGAAGGCGTTGAAGCGTTGGGCATGCTGCGCCGCGTTCCCCCGCTCCTTCATTTCTTGCCACCACTGTAAGCTGTGCCACTGGAAGACTTTGTTGCCGATGACATCCCCTCTGCAAATGTGTCCAACAGCCCTCCAGATTTGGGAGAGGACGAATGAGCTCCATCGGACTCCCCCGCTGTGAAAGAGGGCCAGTCTCGTCCGTCTGAGGCTGCGCTTGTTCCAAGTTGCCCATTCCTCCGTCGGCAATCTCTTGAGTCCCAGCATCGTGCGCATCTGTGCGATTTGCACGGAGTTGACGGCCCGCAGCAGGCTTGTGTGGCAGGGCCACGTCTGGCAAGCCCAAAGTGCACTTTGGCGCACTAGGATGACATGCAGCTTGAGTTTGTCACGCAGGCTGGCTTTGGACGTGAACGCGTCTCGGTGGGCCCAAAAGGCTTTTCTCGCCCTGCTCTGCATCTCAGCGACCAGCATAGGGGTTCCCCCCTGGAAAGAGAGGGGGCTTCCGAGTACATAGAACATGTGGTGCGGTCCCTTTGTCGGCACCACTTCCCCCGCCACATTGAACTTGACCGGGGTGCTGTTGTTCCGAATGATGTCCGTCTTCGTGGGGTGCAGGAAGAGGCCTCGCCGGGGAAGTCGTTCCCCGAGTTGGTCCAACATCGCCTGCATATGCTTCTTGTCCACTGACCATATGTAGTTGTCGTCCATGTAGCTCCCCCCATCCTCGGGGGGGGGTTGCCATTCTTCGGCTTGTGTGCTCGGGCGGCGGCGATGGACGCGTCAAGGTCCTCGGCAACGACGGCTCCAAATGCGACTGGGCTTTCTGGAGCGCCCTGGCGTACGCCGTTGCTCTGGTCTACGGGGATGCTTTCCCCGGCCACGTGGATTGTGATGCGCTGCGCATGAAGGAGGGAGACCCAAGCTCGGGCTTCCCAAGGTAGTTTGCCTTTTTCCCCCACTTGTTTGCTGATGTGGGAGGCGAGGCTCTCCTGGAAGATGCTGTCGAAGGCCTTTCGTATGTCGAGTTTGGCAATATACATGTCCAAGCCCCAGTCATGCGCAATTCTGGCAATTCGACGAAGGATCATGATGAGCTCGATTCCCTGGCGTCCTTTGCGGCACCACTGTAGTCTTGCTGGGGTCTGTACTGAGTCCCCCGCTCGCTGAAGGAGAAGTTGCCCGAATGTTTTCAGCAGAACGGACGTCAATGTAATGGGGCGGGTCTCCCCCCATGCCAGCGGCTGTGGCACTTTTGCCAACAAGATTGTGATGCTGGCCTCGATGCTCTCCACTATGCGGGCCGTGTAGAGCATGTCATTGAAGAGTTCGACGAGCTTGTTCCCCCAGACTGGGTGGGAGAGCATGGCCTTGAGGGCCTCGTGTGAGACTCGGTCGGGGCCACACGATTTCCCATTCTTCCACCGGCTTCTCGTCGCTTGGAGGTCCTCCAGTTGGAAGGGTCTCCAGGGCTGTTGCTTGCAGAGGCGGGCCAATCGCCCGAGGGTGTCCTGTATGGCCATTGACACGCTAGTTCCCCGCTGTTTGGCGAAGATGCTCTCGAAGTGCTTCCGGAGTTTTTGTCGCCAGTCCGCGTCATCCGTCAGGCCCAGCTCCCAATCGTGGTTGCGGGCTTGTTCCACCAGGGCTCTTTTGGTGGCCCAATCTTGCTCCGCCACCAGTTGCATGGCCTTTCGTTGCCATTGTCGATGTTCGGCTTGGTGTTGTTTGCGAGCCATCTTCCAAAGCTGTCGACGGTTTTCCCCCGGCTGTTCTCGAACGGCTCTTGCTCGGAGTTGTTTGAGCTCGCTGCTTTCGCG